TAAAGGAAAAGTGTCTACCAAGAAACTTGAAAAAGCCCACAAAATTATTGCATTATGCCTAATTGTACTCATAGTTTGTGGCTTACATGTTTTCCGAACCCCAAAGTATCTTAAAAATGTGCTAAAATGAGTCTATTTTACCAACATATAAGGATATTTAATCTCAGGAATTATGAGTCTCTACACATGCAACCGTTCAGCGCGCATATCTCAGTCTAAGAGCGGACAGATGGATGAGTGAATGGGAGAATGCGAAGCGAATAATCTTCAAGCAAATCAGTCTCGAAACGACATTCGGCAGCCGGATAGTACCAACACACATTTTTTGGAAGCATGCTCATTTATGCTCGAAACTGTGAATATCTCGACCTTCAACTACTCACCATATGTTCGCGGTGGTATATGCTATTGATAAGTCACAAACCCCACTCTAAATTCTCGAATTCAGTGCAGATGAGTGGTGCTACTACCCTTTGAAGATGGTCTATTGGTAATGGAACAAGGCAGCGCAAGAAAATCTTGATTAATGCACCGTTAGACGGATTTTTGGCGCCCTATCCCTTCAGCCAACTTGTCAGAAAAAAAGAGACTACGCGTGTTCATTTGTATTTTTGATGAAAATTTACCATGTTTTAGGGTATCTTCTGGGAAATACTTCTCCACCTTCCTTTTTAATAAAACGTAACGTTTAAGGAAGTACACATAAAGTGAAAAGACATGAACCCCCTTCCAGCAATGTTCCGCGATTTTGAGCTCATTCAGTCGAGCGATTTTACTGTTGTTCTTTATCAGACCGGAAAAAAATTCTTATCCCCATACTTATAAGCCAGAAATTTCATGCTAAAGTAAGTAAACGCCGAGATAATTGACGGCTTTAGTTTAAAGTGGATTAACGAAGGTATTAAACGGTTAATCTCTGCGAAAGTACGTAACCTGGTCCCACCTTAGGTGTCTGTCAGGCAAGACATGGAGAAGTGTGTTGTTAAGCTGTCGAAATTTACCTGATAACACGCAAGTGGAAGCATAGGATTTTAAGGCTGTTAAACGAATTTGAGCTAAAGAAGAAAGTTCAACATTAAGTAATGCGAAGCCAATAAAGGATGTCATTTTATTTAACGTTGTTTTTAGTGACTTCATTTTGGCTAGAGTGAAGTAGCTTTTTTTACGTTCCCTCGATTACTTTACTCTGGAATTGGGTAGGTGAGAAACACCATTGCGAAGGCGATTTTGAGAAGTGTACTTGACTGAAACACGAGCAAGTACATCGTGAGTACGACCTTGACCTTACCAGCAAACCAGAGCAGGCGGATAGGTGAACTTCCCAGGTGTGTATTTCACTAAAGCACATTGAATTTCCCACTAGCATTTGTTTTGATGAAGGCGAGAGAAGTTGTATTTACAGCGTGCATGAATGTTTAAGACCTCTAAGTGATTCCTCTCGCATCCACCCGCTCCCTTGGGTGTGGTTTTCTTCACGTAAACAAGATGGGACTAAACTGTGCGATTACGATTTTCTGCTTACTTTTTTCATAACTTCAAACACACTGAGATGCAGCTGATCAGGGAAACTGAGTGACTTTAATGGTCATTTCTCTTAATGGCTCATACGATTGCATGGTATGGACGCGGTTGCTCACTTGTGCTCCAGGTTCAAAAAATAGCAGTACATCTTGAGAAATTAAAAAAAATTACAAAAGTTAAACTATAATTGCAATGAATACACTCACTTAGTGCAAAAATAATGAAGCAGGTGGTGAATTGGGTGATATAGATGCGAAGACTCAGTATGTTGGGCAAAGTCAGACGTTATATTTTGGGTGATTAGTCCTTTTTTCTACCAAATGACGTCCTCACTTACTTATTCACCATAAATCAAGCTGTTAAAGTAGGCGCATGTCTGTTCGAAAGGCCTAAAACTTGTCCCGCACAAATCATGCTGCTGCACATACCTATAAAGTAGGAGGCCTTTAGGTTGAAACTTCTTTAAAATATTATTATTTTTTGTGCAAATAAACGAGTTCCCCTCAGTAACATGCCGTGTGATCTAGTCCCCAGCTTGGTAAATTTGAATCTACACATCGCATTGTATTTGCCAGTTATTTAGCAGTAGGATTAACTGCTCAGGCACTTCGGTCTCCGCGAACCGTACTTCCGCTCTGCCGTATGGTCTTTGAGCTATGCTAGCAGCAGCCCTACTCTTGCACACTTTCGTCGTATATATATACTGCTTGGGCATATTAAGACCTCAACTATGGCTCGAGTCGACGCAATGTTACAACTAGTAGCAAAGCTCCAACTTTCGGTTGGCCTAAAGACATGCGAGAACAAAAAGTTGGCTAAATCCGAGTCGGTTACTGTTCCATTTTGTAAATTTGTTTGACAAATAAGTAGCATAACAAAATGTTGTATTTCGCCACCTACAAACAACACCAACCAAAGCTTATCAGAAAAGTGGTATATCGAAAGCGAGTTAATGCTATTTTTCGGAGAACCTGACTGTGATGTAGGATTCGTAAACTCCTCCATCACTAGAGTAATTCAAATATGGTTGAGCAAATTTGGCATATTCTGAAGAAATGTTAGTTGAATTTCAAAGAAAAGTATTTGAATTTGGCACCCTTAATATTCTTGAAAAATCAAAAGGTAGAAAAGGAAATTTTTCCCTGCCTACCGATTTAAAGCCACTCCTGTAAATTTGATCCACGTAACAGCAAGGGCAAATTGTCGAATGTAATTTAAGGCAAATTGGCTGGAGTAAATCTTGCGACCATAATATGTAATCTAAAAGAGAAAAGGGACAATCCTACCCTCCTCGAGTCAATACAAGTTGATCAAAAGAACCTCATTTCATTTATCCCTCCACAAAATTCAAGACTGAATGTCTAAAAGGGAATGATAACATTGATAAATTAGCACTACCTTGTAAGAGCTGAAATGTTTCAGAAGACATGGTCAAAAGCCAGGTTTTATTTACGCCCTCGGGATAGCACAGAATTTCAATCAGGGCACAGTAGTTAGAGCCTTCAGTGATACCAAAAAGTGCTTTTTGGATGAAAGAAAGAGGGTACAGGAAAGAACAGGCAAGAGAGGGTGCAGCTGTTCAAGACCTTTTGCTCCCCTCTGACTCATCTCCATTACATTTGTTTAACTGGTGTGGTTCTGTCAAATGGCAGGAGGAGTGATATGTCACTCAAGGAACATTATTCCCGCATCCTTTCCCTCCTGTCAGATAATCGGGTGATTAAAGCTATCAATTAAAACGATTTCATTCACATAGGATCCCTCTCTTGTTTGTATTTCTTTTCTCGTTAGTTTTCACTTGGTTGGAGTTCATCCCAATGTAACTAGCACTAAGGTAATGCACCCAACCCTTCGAGAGTGTTGATGACACCATTGAGAGGACGTCAACCCAAAGTTAAAAAGTCAAATTTTGTTCATTTCTTAATTGGAATATGTGCTTTTTCCTGTTGCTCTTAGTAATTGCCTCAGAGCTTTTGAAAATGCACGCTCACACGAGCAATACGTGCCAAACTGCACCTTCTCTGTGTGAGAAATTGAAGCGCACGCTCAAAAATTTGAACAAAAATCGCGACTGTCACTTGCCAAAGATTTCGATAAAAAATATTGCCTAAGAATGCTTATCCCAAATGAACTGAGACTTGATTAAAGTTAACACATCTTTTTGCTTAAATTCCTGAAAATAAAGAACATGAAGGAATATTTGCTGATTTACAGCAGTCTCGAAGCCCCACTTTTATCTGCGCGCAATAATAGCGCATCATCTGGCTTGCACTTTCCAGAAATTTGTTGAATACACAAGATGGGTACCAAAGCTACCGTATGGCGCCTTGTTGCATAGATTATCAAAACACAGGATGAGTTAAAGGATATTTGTTTGGAGGGCAAGAAATAGTGTGGCCTTCAAAGGCAAAAAACTGTTAACTGTCTCATCAGGTGCTCCTGTTTATTAAATTGTTCGCTTTGGGACCAACTCCCTTTGTGTTGCCCTAAACTACACAGCTCAACACGGTCAACCACATTTCAAATAGCACCGTCGTAGAGAAATTAGCATCTCCAGGAAATGCCTTTTCCAAAATGCTTTAAGCATCGGCTCTACAGGAATGGGAGGACAGGCAGTGAAAGTAAATGATTTGGATGGCTGGGATAGCATGCGACTTTTGAAATTCCGCACCCCACACCATTTAGCTTGGGCCATAAGATGCCATCGCGGAAATTTTCAAAGAAATACACTCTTGTCCAATTGTTACAAACTATCAAGAAACATGTGAAAAGCATGTTAAATCAACTACACATTCCGATGAAATTATCTTTACAGGGAAAATATTTCACTTCAGGAGCGAGTGGAGATGGTAGACTTTATGAAACATCGTCGAAAATAGTTGTTTTTTGTTGTCAATGCTTTTTAGGCATATTTATTTGTTGCTAATACGGACAAGCACAAAGGTGTTTAGGCCAAAAAATCAGAGGGAATTTCTAAATATCATTTACCGTTCAAGATGATCGTAGCCATGTTTACCCAAAAGAATCCTCTGCGGCAGCAAGAGAAAAAGTGGGCTGTTGATTCAGTTATTTTTGTTTTCCAACTCTACTTCAACACTTTCTGCTGCTACTTTCTCTATATTCCGCATTAAAAAAGGTATTCAGACAAAACCCCAACCCTTGGAAGCTTTTAGGCCAAAAAAATGTATATCTGAATTTTTTGCATAGTAAAAGATGAAAATATTGTAAATAACATCGGGTCGTATGCTAGAGAAAGGAGAACTTGCCTAATTTATAGTCACTCTTCGGTTAGAATGGATGAAGCCTTTTATGAACCGATGCCCAATTACTGCTCGTGAGGGGTTGCATTTCTTCACGTAATTTCGCAAGAAAAGCACAAATGTGTAATTTCTCAGAAATCGTAAACGTTTTTAAACAATCCGTTTGAGAACTCGCCTTTGTGAAATTGCGGCAGCTTTCAACTTGTCTCTCATATGCCCTTACTTTTCACAGTGTTGAACAAGCTTCTCCTCAAGGGAGTCTTTCTGGCAAGTTAAATTAATTTTGGGCATGATTTTATCAGCAAAGGTAAACCTTGCACACTTTTCTAAGGAAAAGTTTGAGTTCACATGAGTACATAGAGGGGCTACGACTTAAACATTCAAGGCACATAGGTCTTCTTACAGTTATAAGCAAAAATTGTCACTAATTAAATATTTTACACCATGAAAATAAACTTCGAATAGTTCTATCTATCTAATGAGTTGACAACCCATAAAACATATTATTAATATCATGGTGAGAAGAGGACTTACTTTGACGGATCCTAAAATTTCCAGTCGATTTCCAGGCGCGATCCCAACTCTGCCAGCAAGGCTACAAATCCACCAGCCCTCAAATCCAGGAGGGTCCCTCTTGAGTACTATGAGTACATCTCCTCTAGAAAATGTGAGTTCCTGTGCCACCTCTGCACTGTTATCAAAGAGAGCCCTTGCCAAAACAGTTGTATTCGGTCCTATGGAGCTGTTGGTGCCTGCTGTAACAGCGCTAGTGCCTGTGGTATTGCTGCTGTTATTGGCTGCTGAGGTGGTGGAAGTGGGAGAGGTGAAAGAGGGCGAATTTTCCATTGTTTTTTACCATACCAAATAAGAGTGGAAGCAGTGGTGGCAGAAAATGTGCTCCAGCATTGTTGCCTCTATTCGCGCGCGGGTGTGTTTGTGTTTCTGTGTATGTCCCTTCTGTGTGTGCACAGAAGGGACAGCGCCAGATGCGATAGCGATGCCACCACAATCCTTGGGACCAATCATCAACCTGCAAAAGCTGGACCAATGGAGCTCTTGCGTATTTATGTTGCTGCGTCAGTGCTTGCATTTGTACTCTCGGCTTAGAAGAGGCTGGTCTTTGCCGAAAACATGCGGTGTAGAAGGTCTTGACTCCATAAACTACAAAAAGTAAAGCGTCTGAGTTTTTATGTCATGTCTTACGTCTGCAAGGGTGCTAGTCTGCGGATGTTTTAACTTCTCATGGTATTAAGCTTCAAGCAGTCTTACAAAGGTGTATTTAAGCTTACTTTTACGACAGGCACCTCTTTTTAGAGGTGAGTTCTTCTGTTATGCAGAAAAGCGATTTGAAATATTTTTAGAAGACTAAAAATTACAAATTATGCTAATAAGCAATTTGGTCTTGATTTTGCCTTTCCATGATCAACCTCGGAAATGGGAGAGATGAAAACTCGTCTACTCCTTTTTAATTAATTCATTCATTATAAATTTTGAAGAATTTATTCCATTTTAAAACAACCGATGATAAATTACTTAACAATTTGAATTTAAATGATGTGAAACGAAAAGATGTGGATAAATTTCCGTAGAGATTCCTAGTTTGAAATAAATACACTCATAAAACACGAAAATGGTAAAGGGCTATGAAAATAGAGAAAATGAGATTTAGGTAGTAACACTTGGCCAAAAAGGCGAATTCGCCAACCCTGTGCTTTGTATCTGCGCAAATGCAATTGAGGTCCTAAATGGTTTTTTCCTTGCCAAACTCGTCTACGAGGACTGAAAAAGGGTGATGGCGTATTCCCTTACATGGGTGGGAATTACGGATTATTGATGCTACAATTACTGCAACCAACTTTATGAAAATTCAAGTCAAAAATGACTGAAGGTTCCAATTCGACGTGTGTTTTTAAGTCCTGCAAACTCTTGTAATTGGAAAGGTCTGCTTTTATTTCCTGGACAGCAACCTGATACAAAAAATATACAGCTTTTCCGAAATTTCTAAGGGAAAAGTCCTAAAAACTTTGCTTGTCTAAAATATTCCTACATTTTATTGGTAGGTAATTCGAACATGCAACAACCAAACGACGACGAATACCTAATTGGAATTCCACTTCTTGCTAGTTCAAGTAAAAATATAACTTAATTCTGAAAAATACGATAGAGTTGGGCCGTTTCTGTGCTAAAATCAAACCGTACTTAGGTCAAGTTCTCCCCAAAGATTATTACAATAAGTGGATTCCTATGTGGATAAAGTCTAGCCTAATGCCTGCGGTATCAAATTAAAGTGAGCTAAAATGCCACGAAATCTGCAATGGATTAAAGTATCTAAAATTTTTTGCTTAAAGCATCTGATCGGTAATGTATTTGGCAATTTAGAACTGGGAAACAAATTATGGCAAACCTGAAACACATTAGTTAATGTAAACATCATGAATATGCAATGCAGGCAGGGGAATTAAACAAAATCATTCATTCAAGCAAATAAAAGCTCTGAAAGCAGTGAATATTGTCAGAAAGATAATTTAGCTGGCTACCCAAGGTGGGAAGATGTGTAGTCACATTAATGACTCAGCATTTTGAGCTTATTTAATGTTCTCATCGTTACTCCCTTTCAAATGGAGGAGGTTGACCAGAAGAAGACATGGTATATATGTTTATTATTGGGAAAATAGGAGGGTTAAAAAATGTAGGGATTTTATGCTTAGTATCTAAATGCTTGTTTCGCAATAGGTCCGCTTAAGCATATATTTTTCTCCGTAAAATTTTTAAACAACTGAGTAATTTATTCTCTTTTAACTAAACTTGGCCTAAGAGCTCAAATTATTTGACGAATTAAGTATTTCTAATGCGCCCCAAAGCCATCTTATTTGAAATAACATGGGAGACGCAACTAGTAGCACATTGAACTGCAAGAAGCTTATCAGTTTCTCCTTCGCACAAAACTCTGGCAAGGAACTGTAGACGATTTAGAATAGAAAGCTAAAATTGTGCCATGCCATAAACATTACATCTCAAGGGCGTATTGACCGGGTTTAAATAAATCTGACAGTTGCGTTGCAGTATTCCAATCCAAATAAAGCAACTGGTAGAAAAAGATTTCATTTTCAAGACGTTGGCCTTCTCACTGTCTACCTGGATAGCTGAAGGCCTCGGGAAGGTTGTGTCAACAGTTTTTCATTATGCATGCTTGATTGAGAGTAAAGTAGCTCCATTGTGTTGCTGGATTTGGCAAAGTTTCTAGAATTTTTGGAAAAGGGCTTGGTCAAACTCATGCTCTTTTACTTTTGCTGTTCTTTTTGTAAGAGTATGTATTGAAAGACTGTTTATTTTGGAATACACATTCTATTAACATATCGTTTGTGCTAATTTAAAATACTAAAGACCCAGAGAAAGGTCATGATTTTTCTCCGTGAGTTTTTAAATAAAATCATAGTTCGTCGGACTCTGTTTGGAAAATTCAAATTTGATGTAAGTACTACATCGACGAGGCCTTCTTTTAGCTCCTCAGAATTATGAAACATTGCTTACTCGCAGCTAGTACAACATTTAAGTCGATTAAAGTAAATTGGAAGTAAGAGCAATTTAGTAATCATCAATAATTCATCCCATAGATAAGTAAAAATGAATTAAACTTTTAAAATAAATTTGGCATGGTGAACTGATGCATCCGAGCCCAAAGGGCTTAAGCGGCGTGTTAGACCATCGGTTATAGCTCGCTTCAAAGACTTGCCGTAACTTGGAGGAACGCATAAAGTGCAGACGATTGCTCATTTACAAGTCTTATAAGGCATGGACGGGTTTAGTCTTTTTGTTGTACCTTCTAATATTTCATCCCCACCTTGGAGCCCCTCTTCCCAAAATGTACTGGGTAAAACTTATAGCTGTTCACTTAAGCTCACCCGCTTTAAAGCCGAGCTTTATCCGGCACCAGAAATGTAGAAGCCTCCTTTTTGTCTAGCCTTCGGAGAAGGTAGGATGGCAGAATCCACAGCCCAAAAATAACTTTATAACAATTAAATTCCTATGAGAATCGCTCAAGGAGGTGATTCAAACCCCGGAAGGCTCGTCGATTTTGGCAATGAGGGATTGAACACAACCATTTACAAAAGACATAAAGGTCAATGAAGCAGACGCAAATTGAAGTGATATTCAACCTAAATGATGGCAAACAACTTGTTTACATTTGTATTAGCTAGAAATGATAAATTTAGAAGTCTGTTCATCACATCGCTTATTTGCGTCCTAAATTTGTGCGGAAATGTAAGGAATGACTTTGTGTTTTTGTATCGTCAAGCGGAGGACTATACCAACATTTGGCCTTATACTATCCGCTCATTACTCACTCCCTCCCTCCCACCTCCCTCTTTATTTCTAAGGCATGAACCACTTCATCTCCAGAAGATTGATTTGCTTTGTATGAGTGGTGGACCGCAGATAAAAACGTTTACTTGGACCTGTTCATTTGCTGAAGGCTGAATAGTTGCGAGGATGACCTATTTGGTAACGAATTAGTTTGTCAGAAAATTAAAAAAACCCCACTGTCTGGGATATTATTCAACACAATTTTATTTTAATTCTAATGTTAAATAAAATCGGTTTTTTTAGTCAAACGAACAGTATAAGGCTTCACAAACGCCTCATTTATTCCCTTCAGCAGCCTTATTTGTTTGATGAGTGTATTTGTACCACTTACTAGAGACATCTGTAATTCCAGAGAACGTTTCTCTTTCGGTTTCCGAAAAGTTCCCGCTTTCATGAGTAATCCTAAAACCTTGTCTGGGGTTGTGCTCCCGCTCAGTCCCTTTCTGTTGGCTGAATGCCTATTGGAAACTTAAAGTGAGTATTTGCTTGCTATATGGCCAAGGTAAGTTAAATTATTGAGGTACATGCAACCGAAAGCAGCCCGTGCCCTCGTCACTATTCGCTAGCCAATTAGCTGGCTGTGACCCACCCACAAGCCGTGCTTCCCTTGCTCACGTATACCTGTCGGCAGGTAAGGCCAAGCTTGTCGGGAACTGGACAGGATCCCAAGCACATGCATTTAAACCCTATTTTATAACGCTGTCATATGTTCATCTATCAGACAGTTTTTTAATTATTACTGGTGAACATGCTGTTGCTAGTGCATTGGTGTGTATACTCCGTACATTTGGAGAAGGCAGAGGACAGAAAAAGTGCCTTCATTCAGGCTTGGTTTCAACAACCGATTTACCTTGTACTTAAAGTTAAGCTTTGTCTCTGTAATACATTATTATAAAAAAGTGCTTCATTTTCATTGCATATTCTTAGGATCTCCACGCAGCCTCATGCTTTTTTTTCCAAATATTTTTTTCAAAGCCCTTCTTGATGAATTGCTAAGCTTCCGTGCTGCACATGGGCGTAGGGAATTGTTCGTGAATTCTGTACTCCAAGCACTTTTTTAAAGACAACAGTGATCTCATTTGAATCCTCTTCTACCCACTTCGTTGCCAAATGCCACACAAGTGAGTTTGTGAGGCACCTGCTACAACTTTAATGGCTCACAACCCCAAGTAGATAAATTGGACCTTTTACAAATAAAAAAGTGTGTTTTTACCAAATCACCACAAGTTTATGCTATAATAAAAGCAATTATGTTGCAATTATTAAAGTGAGAGCTGCAATTTGTGTGTTTGAAAGTTTGCACTAACTGGACAGAGGGTTCCTAAGGGTAAAGGCAGGTATATAGAGCAGAACGTTGAGCGTGAAGCACATTTGGCAAGAATAACTTGATGTACTAGTCTTTTAAAAGTGAAGGATAACTCCAAAACACACGGCGATATTCATATCTTAAGTAATTAAGTTCACTACCTGACAATATAGAGCTGTCTATCCCTCGTAATTCTTCTAGGAAAGAGAAAAATTGCACCACCAAATTTCTTTGGCTGCTCTTTTGATTTCCAAACAACGAAGGTTTTTTCCAACATAAATCCACCTAAAATTACTCGCCACTATTCGAAGGGATTATTCCGTCTATGTTGAGCCTTATTAACCCTTTATGTTGAGAGTCTCTTGTACAAAGGACAGTCGTCCTGTCTTCGGAATTTACATGTGCCCCCTTTCCAGATGCAATACTGTTCAACAAATGTTTCAACGATGTGAAATTCACAGAAATGATTGCACGGCTTCAAATTTTTACAAACAGTGGTTCCTTTTTGAGTTGAAAATGGATAGACGTTTATATTTCTTCTTTAGCTTTAGCTCTCCCTCACCTTTCTTGAGTCTGACTTCTTCGGGTCTTAGGAATTGCGTATTCTTCTGCTTTTTGAAGCGGGAAGTTACTCTACCTCTTTTAAAATACTTTATAAATTTAGAAAATAGTTGGATTACTTTTTAGATCTGCTATTTCTAATTTTAACATTTTTCCTAAAAGGCTTTGTTTTTTGAGACTAGCACCTTTCCCTGCTGGTGCGATTGAGTTTAGAGCAATGGTACTATTTTAATTCACCACAATCCCGCCTCACTTGGCATAATTTAGAGCCTTTCTCTGTCCTCAATTGGGCTGTTCCTCTTTGTCAAAACTGTAAATGAGTGGTACCTGTGTTTAATCATGCAATTTTCTAGTAGAAATGTCTTTAAAAAATTTGCTACTTCCAGCAAAAATAGGAGCGCCTGAACTCCCGTCAGCGCTGCTTGTGCAATTCTAAAGACCCAGCGGCGCTCCCTCCATTTACACCAACAGCGTTCCCTTTTTCCGAAAGATATGCCTTATCTGTTTCCCAGGTGGAGCCAGTAGAAAAAAGAAAACGTGCCAAAATTACAATCTTATATCCAGTGATTTTTCTTCTTGATAGCTTTAGGTAAATCCAATTCCTCACATTAACTAATCGTCTTGTAATTCAACATATTACCCTTTAATTACATCAATAGAAGGCAGACTACTAAGAATTCAGGATGGAAAACGCGCAATTATCAAAAGGCTTCAGGGCCATTCCAAAGTCCTGAAAACTCCCTGATTCTGCGAAGGATGTCTTGAGTCTGATTGATATAACTTTTACCTCGCCACCATCAGTTCTTTTGGGAAAGAGAAGTCGCGAAGTTAAACCCAACCCATTCTAGATCCAAAAAGAAAGGATATAGGCATGGGGAGGTAGGACTTTTCATTCTTCTAAGGGTTAGCCTGAAAGAGGCGCCACTGAGGCAAAAGTATAACCTGAAGACAATGAAGAGCCCAAGATGATAAGTGAACAAGCAAAGCAAATAACGTGTAGCTACGTAGACCCCTGTTCCATAAGTGACTGCCACAACGGTTTCCATGTTCACACTATTGAGCCTACCGTCAAGTCAAGACTACGATGGTTTTACCATTTTATCCACCTCCTGAAAAGCATTCATTGATGTCCATGCCAGTCTCTCTTCAGATAAACGTCCGCTGACAACTTTCAAGTTTGTTTAAATCTGACGTCGATTTTAGCCGCCAATTGCTTCTTAAGAAAGCATGAGATTGATGCGAGTTAAAAGGCATCCAGAGAAGTTTAAGTTACTAAAGAACACTCAAAGGATACGTTAAGTAGACAATGGTGAAGATAAAGCAGAAACGGTGAAATAACAGCTCTGGAGTTCTCTCAGGTCATTCACTACTATCCATATCTGATAAGGATCTATAGGTATTGCATCGAACCAACTTTTAGGTTCTTCAAAATATCTACCACTTTTATCTTCCGATTATTCGGTGCTAGGGCTGAACTAACCTTTGGAATTCTGACTAAACACACGAAGTTTTTAAATTGATAGGCCAAATAAAAACGTTTTACTTTTAGTTGTGCAAAGATGTTATTTTTTAGAGCTGGTGTAGGAGGATTGTTCTACCATTCAGAAAGCGTAGACCATCAGGTTAGTGCTTTTGCCTTAGCTCTTCTGCAAAGAGTACTAAAACATGATGCGAAAAAGCCTAAAGCATGCTGAAACCTAATTTCATTTATGTGTAAACACCAATCCTGACGAGTTCTTTGAAGGGTGCTGCCTTGCTAGTTATCACAAGCTGTTGTTTCCTTGTGTGCTAGTACAAAACCTGGCGAGCTCCTAAATAAAATAATCACGAGATAACTTTCATTAAGCTGGGGAACATGACTGCTGGACGCTGGATACACAGGACAATCCTATTCTTACATACTTAGGGTATTTTAATTGGCCTTGACCTTATCAGTGACAGTACCACAATCAAAGTCCATCTGTGCGTGATATTGACTGAATAGATGGTTTGGAATAGAGTACGCGAGATGATATTAGGCGCCAGGAGCAAGCCTATGGTAAACTGAAATAGAGCTGATTTATGTAGCTGCAGACATCCCTGACAAACTTAATCTTCTACTGGAAAGAGACTTTGAGGACACGGCTACACTTTGACCAAATTCATTGCTGACCTTCGATGCTGGAGGATAGTCAGACCCATAAAAGCTTTACCTCTTTGTGAGCACTTTTGTGGTTAGGCAGGATATTATAGCTCAAGTATAAAGGTATCACGTCCAGTAGCCAGTGATTGGTGTATCCAGCAGCTAGCCAATGATGGTAGTTAATTCTTTTATAGTCAAATGAGTAAGACTAGCAGATATCTACAAAAGGCAACAAAATAATGAAACTTGTAAGAACATTATGATATAAGTAAGGCAAATATCTCAAAAGTGGCCACGTGAACGGCTGTCGATGTCGATCTTGACCGTGGTAGTTTTCAGCCCATCGATGCAGCAATCGTTTGTGCGAGCATTCAGAAAGAGCACGGATTACCTGATGCTGAAAGTCTAGTTGACATACGATCCGTCATAAAGTTGCTTAGCCAAAGGATTTCTTAAAAGCTGTCAACAGAACCACCTACGAACAACTTTAGTGTCGGAAAGGCACCAAAACAGCAATTTGCTTTTACCCAGCAGTTGCAGAATGTTTTGGTTATATTACGAAAACATTCCAGGTACCAACGGCATGGAAACGTGTGAATGTAGTAAGTCAATGCGTCGAAAAGCGAGTGCAGCCTTTACCCCCTAAAATCAGTTCTTTGCCTCTATAATTTCTGTGGTCCCGGTGTGTATTATTCTGAGAAATGCATTGCGAAACTGAAAAAAAACTTGCGAAAATCTTAAATCACTAGGTTTCTTTTCTAGGATGACAAAAGCTCTTTTCTGTTCAACAGCATACTTATATAAGTAGCTAACGAAAGCGAGGCGAAATTACATGAATGGATAATTCTACTCAGCGAGGCACAAACTGTAGCGTCAAAATAGAGTTATTAATTAGCTTTTTGGTGAAATGAGATCTATCACAAGTCGTCAAGGATCTAAAACGACTTATTCAAATGAATAATATGTGCGCACCCTTGAATTTCGTCTACCCTCCGCCTTAGAAGGGAAGTCCATGTGCACATTTGGAAGCTCACGCCGAGCCACAATTATACAAGATCGGCCGTCATCCATCCGCCATTTGTAGAGATAATCTGCATACCTCAACTTTTCTTTAGTGTTAATTGACGTCGTAAGTCGCTGGAAAAAATGCTCCTTTTTAAGTGAATTGTAAATTTCCAAATTCCGCAACACATCAAATTGCAGTGACCTTTTAAGCGGGAGTGAATTTACCTTCAGTAGGAATAAAGTTTCGGCCGTTGTTTCAGAGGCTTAAACTTATTGTAAGATTTATTTGCAAGTTTTAATTCACTATTTCATATTTTCATGTAGGAGGTGCTAAATTTGTTCAGATTTTGTGTGTGCTATATTACCTGCTGCAGCAAGGTGGCAAAGTGCCTGAAATTCATTAGCAATTATTCTACTCAAATATATAATTTGTTGAATTGTTCATGGTGTCAGAGCCTAACACTCAAACATAATTGGCGACCCACTTCGGTGGAATCCAAATCGAGGAGAGGATCCCATTCTCACCGTTATATCCTGACAAAGGCGGATACCATCAACTTGATAAGTAGTGTCCATTGAAATTATTCCCCAAACGCTGCTGGCATTTTTGGTCCGGTTTGCAAATTGGGCAACTGACCGAATATATAGTCTAATCAACCACTCCCAAGACGAGTTAAGCATCTATTGTTAAAAGACGCCTCTCTGTATCTGTAGATGTGGGGCACGACAAGGTCTACAAAAGGTAGTGTGCGAAAGGAAAATGGTTCTCTTAAATGCTTTTAGAGTATTTATCTATACAAACACTTACAAAATCCCTCATTTTCCTCTGCGGAGGATCGAGCGTACAAATACCACTTTGCTGGCTACTTTGTCTCCTCACCGTCCCTTTTTCTACTTCTTCCTTGTACCCCAGATATCCATTCTATCTAGTGTGCGATCGCTTGATTCTTAAAAGTAGATCACTACCGCTAGAGGTAATGCCAATATAGGGGTTCAGAGGATAAGAATTGTGAGGAGACGATCTCTTCTTCCCACTCCAAAGCCAGATTTCCTCAAGAAGAAGCTTTTAATGGGAGACGCCAGACATTGTTTTACTAAATGTGAATAAAACCTCTACCTGCTTTCGGTTTCTAGCAAACATCCCCATTTCTTGTCCGCCACACGTACAAAAAGGTATGCATGCCTTCGAAGCGTGGGGTTGAAAATTAATGGATAGGCTGGAGATAATTAAGGTGTTCGCTTAGTGTAGAAACAAAGTTATTTTTCATCAAAAGTTAGTCAACAAGCAAAGTGTACGTTTTGGTAACTTGAAAAAGACAAAGACTACATTTGTGATCTGTGGATAATTTATCATCTGTTAAAGCATGGATGGCGGTGTCAATTTGCTTAAAAGATGTCCCACAGAACTTTTCCATTTGATATCGATGCAAACCAAATGCTTCGTTGTCATTCACGTCACACATTTATGATTACTCCTAGGATATTAATTTTGGATTGTATTAGGTGGTGGGGAACTACAACTCCCCATAATCGAGAGTTGAGCACCTTCCAGAATTTAATGCAAGCTTCATTCAATGGTTGTATATCCACCATCTAGCAGAGCGACATTGTAAAAGTAGTATATTCTGTTACTCGGCAAAAGTGAATACCAGAAGTTTCGGCATCACTGAAACTAATTCAAACTCGGCTAATTAAGCGGATAAGTTTGAATCCCACCTTTTATCCTCGATGGATAGTTTATGAGATGAGAGTTTTTTGTCAGGAAGAAAGGATAAAGATCTGAACAGTCGTATTTTACAAGACGTGAGTCAAGTCCTTTTAGATACACACAGTAAAGTACGCACAAAGCGTTGTGCTCACTTGCTAATATGGTTCAAATTTTCTGCTTTCTCATGGCGGTGCTTTCCGGAGAGAACCACTATAAAATTTGCCTCATGGAGCCGCTGAAATAAGCATCTGCTGTGGGGTATTCGCATTTAACCTTGGCTAAATTTATGCCTTTCAGTCCCTGCTTCCGAAAAGCCATATGCATGGGTGCTGCTCTCACCACTTGTTGGATTCGCCGCATAAGTGATCTCCCATTGATGGAGTGATCCGAACTTCCAAATGATACATCTTACTTCATTTTCTCACGTTTTACAGACCTTAAATTCTAGCATAGGGAGATGCCTTTGGTTGATACCTACCAGAAAACGTTTCGCTACGTAAGAAATGACACTTCCTGGTATGCAATCTTGACTAAATTACCGCTTGCTCGTGTGGCTATTAAAAATCACCTTATCATGCTGAGGAGAAGTCAGTAATTTAAAACAACGAATAGGTTGATGCACGCAATGGGATATTAATTTTTGACGCTTTGGTTGTACAGTACCACAGTTGTAAGCCTCCTTGCCTAGAGGCCATAATCTCCCTCCAGAACCAATATTCGGCCAGTAACCGCAATGAATCGCAACTTGCAGAGGCTGAAGTACTCGAGTAGTTAGATACAGAGTTCAACAAATTCATCAAGCGTCACAGTAAGCCGAGTTGGCTTATCACCTTTCCGGAGTTGACGCCTTTCTTTTAGATAAATCAAAAAGAAATTAGGCAAATTTAACTTTCACGTACTTTCAAGTGTGACTATCAGCTCGCGCCACACACCTAGCAAACGTTTGTTTAACCTCATCACTGCCTACAGGTGGTGGTAGTACTGGTGTGGAAGTACCAATTCCCGCTTTGTGCGCATATGACGATCAAAATACCCGTACAGATTTCAATACAGCTAACTCTGATCGTTTAATGTGGTTTTCCCTCTGATGCACCCCAAAGTATGTAGAGATGCCATTTCATACCCCACTAGTGAGAGCCTTTAGGGATCGTTGCGGTCTCTGCCATTCTACTGCAATTTCAAATGCCCTGCTCGAGCTCTCTAAATGTTGGCTTAGTTTGATGAATGTGATTGCAGCCAATGCACTGTAGAAACCGAAATCCACTCGGTTTCAGAGCTGCTAGTACGGTGTACATGGTGTTTGAGGAAGCTGCGGCATGTGTTTTAGCAGAACGTACTGCCCAGAAGTGGTTTACGAGGGTTTTGATATTCATTGTTATGTTTTCGGTACTTTAGTGTACTGGCATTATCAATTAGAGACCTTAATCTTATTTTCTCGTCATTTTTATTAAATTTTATTTTACAAACCTACGGACTCAAAAACGTAATCATTTTCATTCATTTTAAATTTCATGACCCAACCAAATTAGCCATTGCCGCTGTGATGTTGGCAACCAAGTTAATGACCTCCTCCTAATATTAGGCTGATCAAATGAGGGATTAAGATAGCAGCAAAAAGTGAAGGGATGGTGATTTAAAAGATTTTCCCTAAATCTAGCAGAATAGAAATCACGCGGTTAAGAACTTGCGTATTTTAGTCTTTTTTGGACGGAAACATCTGAAATAACTTTCTAATTTTTTTACTAGGAGGGAGAGGGTTAAACGTGTTGAATTATTGGAAGCCAAAGCTTTAATATTGACAGGTCGCAAACACAGGTTGCTTGATCCAATATTTGATCTGGCCTATCAAAGCAGGCGGAGAATGGGGTCTAAGTCACATTTACAGTTAGAACGTGACCGAAGCAAAAGTCAAGGCTAATATTTAGAGTAGACTCAGTTGTCATCGTCACGACATCACGTGATTCAGTGAAATGGACTTCTTTTATGTCTCTTTAATCCTCGTTAAGGCTTTTAACCAGACGCTTTAAACCGATTTCAGACAACTACACATTAAGGGTGTGATTAAAAAGCAGAACCCAATAAAAGGTGGGCCTCACTGATGTCAAATCTCGGCCCCAAAAGACCCATTGCATAAGCTCATCCATTCGAATAGCTGTAAAAAGATTAATTACAATCTAAACATGTAATCTAAGACCTATCCGACTTGACAAAGTACGTGAATGCAACTGTTTAGCTCTAAAAGCAAAAAAACTTTTCCGCTACCACTGCTTTGAATCACTTTATTATCTAACCGTAAGTTCTGCTTTGCATCGGATGTCTAATACGATGAAAAGGTGGTCACAACTGGGAGGAATCATCACCCGTGAACAAACCCATTTGTATTCCACCGCATACACTTCCTCTCCTCGCACACACGTACGCCCAAAGCAGAGACTTTTGCAGGTGAAGTGGAGCGTGACTTGAGCGGGTGGGATACGTCGCATAGCAGTAAGCATTAATAAGTTGGTGTGCTTAGTAGAACTTTGAGTACAAATAAAAGCATATTCCATCACAAATCAGACAGCAATCAACCGTCAAGCAAACGGGTAAGGCGAATTCGAAAGTTAAAACTTCTCCAACTTCGATGGATACAAGCCAAAGGCAAATTACAGTCAATGGTTGGTAACGAAGTACGGCTGATGCATCCTCCTGACTAAATGGCAATTTGAGATCGAATTTAATGGCCCCAACAATTTTCCAAATCCAATGGCTAATAGAATAGTAGATATAATGGAAAATTGCGCCCTCTACCCGGAAGAGATGTAGCATAAACCTAGTGGTTTTCAAAATCTATTAAGACATAAAGTGTGGCATAAGTAAATTTTCCGCCGCATTTGGAATGCCCTTAAAACACATTAACT